GCACTGGGATTCACTTGTCCACAACTCTGAAACTTACCCCGAAGCACTTAACCTGAAATCCCAGAGTCAGAAATGGAGAAAACCAAACCTGCAAAATATCTAATTACTTTCCACACACTGGCCTTAGCTAGCTGCAGGAATCCCACCAAACATTCCAGAGCTAAGAAACATTTTCTGTATAATTTCTGGGGTAGTTATTTCTTTAATTTCAATAAGGTATGTGGGTGGGTGGGGAGGATCCTTTAAAACATCAATGAAACAGAGTAACACAGCATAAAAAGCTGCAAGAATAAAATAGAATATTCAACTAAATCAAGGGATTAAAATATTTTTCCAGTTAGAAAGACTCATCTTCAAATTTTCTACCTCCAAAACTGCTGCACATGCCAAGAAGGAAGGTTTTAGCCCTCTTCTTAATGAAGAAGAGCTTAGAGACAGCATGTGACATGGCCTTTCCTGTGATGGATCTAGGTATACAATGAAATCACCCTCTGGCATGAGAATATTCTGCAAACCACACTGGAAAGATTCTCTTAGGAATGTGAGAGATTCAATCAGAATGACATAAAAAGCAAAGCTAACTCTTCATGAAGCTCGATGGTAAACAAAGCAAGGTGGGGGAGGAAAGGGAAAGCTGGCTGCTGTTGAAGCCACAGAGTCTGCCATTTAGTTACAGTTTTGCGATGGAATGTGAAGGGAGGTAGTAGTCACCCAAATTAGACTCCACTAGATGCAACCTGAAACTATCATAGCACCAAAGGTGCAATCGTTTGAGCTTACCTGTTTTGCTGGGGCTCATAAAATTTCTGCCCTCATATGGATTTGAGAATTTTTATATGATAATGCCAATTTAATCGATAACACTCCTGTTATTTCAGTAACTGAAATTACTCAGAAGCAGATTCAAGCTCCGTGTGGAGATACAGTACTTATGCTTGTGTAAGGAGAGAGGTCTTGCAGAGATGCACCAAGTGCATGTCTCTAGTGTGGCTATTCCTAAAACCTATTCAGCTAAGACAAGAGCTAAACCAGGATCTGCAGATATGGAGGAGTAACCCAGAGGGAAAGACTGCTTTTAATTCAGGTCCCTGTTATTTATTTGAAAAGATAAAAAACAAAGGTGGCATAAATGAACAAACCTCAATTTTTTATTGTTGTTGTTGTTTAGTCATTAAGTCGTGTCCGACTCTTCGTGACCCCATGGTTTTTATAGTGAGGGATTAATAAGAATAGAGTAACATTAATTCAGATCCTCCCCTCATCAATATGCGGATGACACCCAGTTCTATCCTTCCACCCTTCTGCAGTGGATGCTGTCCTATCCCTTGAGCGCTGCCTGGGCACCGTGCTGGGGTGTATGAGGGATAATAGACTGAGGCTGAACCAGGACAAGATGGAAATCCTGTGGGTGGGGGCCCCTAGTGTCAACGGTCTGAGTGCTTCCCTTCCCTTCCGGGGGTCACTCTTTCTACGAAGGCTGAGGTACGCAACTTGGGTGTAACTTCTGGATCCAGCACTATCAATGGAATCTCAGATAGTGTCTGTGGTCTGCACCGCCTAAGGAGGATCACCCAGCAACGTACCCTTGACACCGGGTGCCTCACCACACTGGTTCACACACTGGTAATCTCGAGATTAGACTACTGTAATGGTCTCTATGTGGGGCTGCCCTGGTGCTGTCATGGAGACTTCAGCAGGTCCAGAACTTGGCCACCAGATTACTGAGTGGGGTAAAAAGATATCAACATATCTCCCCCACCCTGCCCACCTTGCACTGGCTACCTGTCTGTTTCCGGGCCAACTTCAAGGTGATGGTGCTAACATACAAGGCCCTAAATGGTTTGTGACCTCGTTATCTGGCAGAACGCCTCCTTCTGACTAGATCTGCCCACCCTGTAAGATCTTCCCAAGCTGGGCGGTTGAGAGTTCGAACCCTGAGAGAGGCTTGGAAAACAGTGACCAGAAATCAGGCCTTGTCCATGGCAACCCCACAACTGTGGAATGGCCTCTCACATGAAATCCACCTGGCCCCTTTATTGGGAAACTTCAAACGATCACTAAAAGCCTGTTTACAGAGGTAAGGTATGTGCCGTTTTGTTCTCTCCTCAGCTATCTCAGCTTACTTCCGTGTAAAAGACACCCCTCAATTTTTAGGGTAATGATTTTAGGAAAAAAGTAGTGTCTTATAGATGAAAAAATACGGTAGTTTCAGACACAGACATTAATTGGTAATGATGAATTCAGGATGCCTTTGTAGTTCTTCCTATTTATCTCATTCTTTCAAACTGTATGTCCACTGATTCCTAGAAGGGTATTTTATATTTCAGCTTAATCCCACTTATTTATGTAATTTCTATACTACCTATCTGGCAACCAAGGCCGTGCTTAGCGGTTTGCACAATACAATATAAAGCACAAGTAGAATAAAACAGAACAGTAGGACAAAATAATCAATACAGTACAAACAAAATGAAAATAGTATCAATAAAAACATTAAAGTAAATAGTGAAAGAATGGCAGAGGGTTGAACATTAGCAAATTACTGGTTGTTAAAGCACTATTGTATCAGAATATTACCGAATCTGGGATGGCCTGTCTAAATAACCATGTTTCCTTCAGCCACACGGCCTAGTTTCCTACAGTCAGGAGACTTAGCTTCCTCCAATCACGAGCCTTATGGAACTGACGTCAGCTGATCCTGAACAATCCAATTGGAACACACCTCCTTGGAGGTCGAGCCTGTAGGCTCAAGACTCAACAGAGACAAAATGTCCGATGTTCTGAGCCCAGAGGCTGAATCCTCAAAGCTAAGTTTTCTTAATTTTGGAGTTAGAAAAGCAAGGGGGGGTCTTATAAATGGGGGCGTGTTATAAATGGAAAAATACAACAGACAGCAACTGGGTTAGAGCTATGGTATGGCCAAAGACCTACTGACATAACTTGATGCAGCTAATTGACACAGCCACAGGGCACATCTCCGCTGCACAACTGGATATGTACCTCAGCAATTACCTGCAATAAGTTATGGAAACCTTACACAAACATTAATAGGATTCTGGCCTATGCTAGCTGAATTTGACTTAAGTTCTTACAGTGAAACTAAAACAGGAGCCAATCTGTTAAATTTCTTCCCACTGCCAGATTAACTCCTTCTTTTGTATGGTTTAATTATTCTCAAATCAGTAAAATGAACATGCAGTTCACTAATGAGTTACAATGGGTAACAAAATATACATTTTGTCATAAGAACAGGCAAACCTTTCTGGATAATGCCAAAGGACCAGAAACCAATTGCCAACAGAAAGTCCACAATTAGAACATAAGGGCAATCATCGTTTCATGATATTGTTCCCATGGAACATGGGGACTGTGATCCTGGAAATATCATTTATCTATCACACCCTTAACATAAAGAATATTTATGTAACAAAACATTAATCAATATTACTATCTCTGCCTCAAATACTGATGCTGAAATATTGTAGACAAGCACAAAAATGAATTAGAACCATCTTTTTCCAAAATATTAGAACTATTATTTCACCAAAATATAGGCTGCAAAGCAGACGAAGCAGAATTTCCTCAGTTATATGGCCAATCACAACTTGAAAGAGATATTGCAGCATGATACATGCCTTCAAAATAATATAAACTTTAAATTACAAAACAGACACCTGATCTGGTAAAGCAAATCAACCACATATGTTAAGAAATGTTACAATGAAAAATTGCTCAGAGGGTCATTTCTATAGCAGGTGGGCATTAATTTGCCCTATTAAATGTGACGGTTAAAAAGAAAAGAGCTGTAATTTTTAATGCATTTTACACATAATAAATTGGGAAGTATGAAAGTATCATGCTGCAACATCTCTTTCAAGTTATTGTTGCCCATATTATTTAACTGTAACTTGAATTTATTTTGGTAAATAACTGAAATTACCAAACGTGTTAGGGTCCAATTATTTCCAAATCTAACTATAATTGAGAAAATTCTGCTCCATCTACTTTGTAAACTTTAAAATATCCTGGAAAATAATGGTTCTATTTCATTTTTGTGCTTGTTTGCAAGATTCCTGCATCATTATTCATGCTACTGTGATGGTACCATCACATGAATTCAACAGAAAGAGTAAACATATGGACCAATCTCTCTCTCTCTCTCTCTCTCTCACACACACACACACACACACTGTTGGAATCCGGCTCCAACAACCTGTGGTGATGGGAGAGGTCCCTGAAAGGTTCCGGAGGGAGAGACCTCTGAAATAAGGAGACTGCAGTCGAATTAATCTTTTCAAAGCGTGCTCAGGATCATTGGCTGAAGTTGCAAAAGGTTCAGTGATAACAGCTCTCTGTGAAAACAGCTCAGCTCTCTGTGATATCAGCTTCCCCAATGATGCCTGGCACCTCCTTTTATTCTCTTACCGGTTACATAACATCAACTGTCAGGTTTACATGAGCCAATAGGACGCTCTGCTCAGTAACACACCATATTACATCACATGAGGAGATCAACATGGTTCATACAACATGGATATTAACATGACAAGAAATACCTTTATATGTTTAGCTATGGCATACATTCCCACAACACACACACACACACACACACACACACACACACAATGTATGCATGAATACTCTACATAATTGCAGCCAAACAAAAATACTTTATATTTCCAGACAAGTATCAAATCAAATGTCCATTCCTTGTATAATAGATAAGATTAAATACCTCAGTTTTTGTTTGTTACAATATTTTTGGTTAAGTAACATATAAGACACCCAGTGGCACCAAATGTGGTGTACTGGATACCGTGACAGACTATGATTCAGGAGGTCCAGGTTTAAATTCCTGTTTGGCCACAGAAATGTACAGGTTGAAGGGTGATGCTGGTAAACCACCCCTTAGATATTCCACTTTTCCTGAAAGCCCTGTTAGGGCTGCTTAAGTCAATTCTGCCTTCACAGTACATAAAACAACATATGAGAATACATACCTTTATTCTTGTCACGTCCAAGAATTACCATATCTGTCTTGAGTTTTTGCAAAACAACAAGCACAGTCGGATATTCCACGACAGTTTTCCCTTTCAAATTGTCTAAAAGTCCTTTGTTAACATCCAGTTCTTCATACCTTTGAAGAAATTATTTTAAAAGTTAATGAGCATGGAAATATTTTGAGAGAGAATGCTAGAGTAACAAATCTACTTCTGAATATTAATAGAATTCTCCACCCATCTCAATATAAAAAGACAATGGAACACCTTGTGACCCAATGTTTTGTTTGTGGCTACTTGCTCTGTATAACAACATTGGTTATCTATTATGTGGTAAACTATAGGTCTCAAAATCTGACCATTACAGAATAAAGTTGTACTATTTTATGCTTTTTCAGCATGTATTGGGCACAGGTAAGAACAGGTGAAGTACCATGACTAGCTAATATGCAGAGCATCTCCATTATTTCACAAATAACTCTTCCCATTCTGACTTTCAAGTGCCGAGTTGTTGGATCTGGTATGAAGTGTTGTTGCTATGTAATTTATGGCAACACTATGATTTAGTGACCTCCAAAAGGTCCTGTCATATCAGCCCTACTCAGGTCTTGCAAACTGAAGGCCATAATTTTTTTTTGTTGAGCAAATCCATCTCATGTTTCGTCTTTAAATTTTTCTGCTGTTTTCAGCTTTTCCCAGAATTATTATCTTGCCTTCTCATAATGTACCTAAAGTATGTTAACCTCAGTTTAGCCTCTTTTTTTTTGCTTTTAGCACCCACTTATGTATTTCTTGTGATCCATAATATCCTTACACCTCTCTTCCAACACTACATTTCAAATGACGAACATTTTTCCCCATCAGCTTTCTCATTGTTCAACTTCCACACTGGTACACAGTAAATTGGAGTACTATAATATACCCTAAATGGTTCAAGAATAACCCAACCCTAAAAATAACCTCATGAAAAGCCAGGATGGAGATGATGAAACCCAAGGAGAATGAAAGTACAATGCAACTAGACACTGCTATAAGGGGAGATCATGAAAAGCTTCTCTAAAGAGCAATTTTTAAAGATCTGTCTTCAGAATGTTAGGAGGGAAAGGTCTGATGCACCCCCTTCACTAACATATTCCATAAGACAGCAACTACTGAGAAGGCCTGGTTTCTGGACATAGACTTCCAGGGCTCCCTTGGGGTGGCCACCTGCAGCATCAAAGCTTCTGAAGTGTAGGTGGTAGGTCGCAGGGAAATGTGATCCAACACGTAATGAGGTCCCCAACTGTTATGGGCTTTGTACGTCAACATTAGCATCTTGAATCTGGCATGGAAGCATACAGGCAATCAGTGCAGATAAGCCAGGTCCAATGAGATGTGATCATATATCAAAGTCTTTGAAACAGTCTGGCCACCACATTTTGCACCTGTTGCAACTTCTGTACCACCTTCATGGGTAGCCCCACATAGAAAATGTTGGAATAATCAATCTCTAGGATTACCAATGCATGAATTATTGTTGTTAGGGATTTCCTGTACAGATTGGGCTGCAGGTGTGCTATCAGGCTAAGTTGGAAACAGGTCAAGATTAGACACGGGGGCTTTGCATTTGTCCAGGAATATGAAGCCTGCCGGCACAGGTGGCCAGCCCAATGATCACCCATCTCCAGAACCCGCCAGACCACTTACTGTGTGGAATGTAGCGTGCATGGCCAGGATCATCTTCAGCACTCCAATAATGGCTCTAAACCAGCTCCTGCACCCCTACCTCCCTGCTCACCTGGCCACCCTGGCAAGGGGGAAGGGAGGACGAGTCTCCCTGCCCAGTCACAGAGTGGCTGGGCAAGCAGGGAAGCTGGGCTGCAGCAGCCAAGCTACTGCCATGATTGAGGTGCAGATGACACCTGCCACATGCGCCACATGATGCACGGTAAGTGGTCTGGCAGGTTCTGGGGTGGGTGTTAACTGGGCTGGCCACTTGTGTCTGCAGATTTCGTATTCTTATATAATGTCTAGCGAAGATCTGTTTCTCTATCCAGAGAGCTGGGTCCAGGAGCACACCCAAATTGCAGACCTGGTCCTTCAGAGGGACTGTAACCTTATCCAGGCCAAGCACACATACCCCCAACTGATCAGGATCTCCTCCTAAGAACAAGACCTCCATCTTGTTAGAATTCAAGCTCAGTCTGTTAGGCCTCATCCAATCCATAACTGAGGCAGGCACTGCTCCAAAGTCTGCAGAGCTCACCCCACCAAAAATGAAAAGGAGAAATTGAATTGCATATTGATGACAATGCACTCCCAATCTCTGGATGACCTCCCCTGGTGACCTCATATAGACATGAACAGCATTGGGGAGATGATGTTAGTATTTTCTTGTATGTTATGCATTAACTACTCTGAGAACCCTATTGGCATGGAAGATGCAGGTGAAAGACAAGCACAAGTAGGTAGATATGCTTCATTCTCTCTTTTTCCATATACTTCAAACTATATCAAATATTAATTTAAATGTTTATTTTTCAGCTTAGCAAATCCTATAGATGTATCTTCATCATTCTAGAGTGCATCATGTTTCTCTTTTAAGGCAAACATATACAAACATTCTATTCTTTTTTTTATGTAAATGGGTGTGTGTGTGTTTATCTGTCTGTATATCAAATGCTCCTCACTTTGCTGTTATGGGAAGAGTGTAGCCTTTTGGTGCAAACATGTTTTAAAAGACAAATATAAAAATGTCCTATTTTTAGTTTTTAAAAAAATATTTGAGTATCCTGGACAATACATGCAGACTGAAAAGTCAGAAGGAGCTGAATTCTGAACACAGAGAATCCATTTATTCCAACTTGCTGAATGATTTCCAGCACATGGAGCTAATATACAGTCTACAAACAAGTTTGGAACTCGGAGATTCATTTGTTTTTTAAATTAATTCACCAGAAAGGTGCCATCTGAAATTTAATGTGAGAAATTTAATTATTTAGTAGAGCTAGTAATTGTTTGTTTGTAGAAGAGAATTTAAAATAACTTGTAATTTAATCCGGAGTGCCTCACATCAAACAGCTGGAGACTAAACTCCCCAAAGGAAACCTAATTTATATTTGTGTGTTTTGGCTTATCCATATGACTTGGATCTACCAGCCAATTCCATATAAGGGAGACTTTCTCCTTCTTTGGAAGATGCATTTAAAGCCAGGAACAAGCATTGATGCAGTGTTACTAAATAAATAACTGAAGTCATCTTAACCATGTCTATTCCTTAAAATTATGACATAAAAATGCAACAGCCCTTTCAGATTTAGTATATGTCAGGAACAAAATTTCAAACCTTAACGCTATTAACAACTAAAACTGTTAGCAATTGCTAAAAAAGGAAAATGAACTGCAATTACTACATTACTATGCAGCTATTAAATCTAGCAAATCCCAAATGTATATATAAAGTATGTCTATAAAATAGATCAGTACCATCTAATCTAATTTTTATCTCTACAAACTACATTCAGTGTAAATTCTTGAACAATATTTATTTATTTATTTAGAATACAATAACAAAAATATATAGATATTGCTTGTCTATTACTGCAGATGATATATGGGAATAATATGGCACATATTATTATCAAGATTCAGTGCTTAAAAGAATTCAAGATGTTAAAATGTGCAACTTGCTTTTTCTTGTTTTGGAAGAAGGAAGTTTAAGTAATGGTATTTCCCTCAAATCCAACTTCAATCATCATGAAAACATTTGGTTTCATGTTTCTCTTAACTCAAAGTAATTATTACCATTTCTTACCGAAACCTTTTTTTAAAAAGGATGACAGCATACAGTATTCTAATTCAAAGAGTACCTTCATAACTAGTAGATTAACACATGAATAGAAACATAATTACTGATTTATTTACAGTACTCTAATGCGAAGCACGGAATACCTTTCTACTGGCAAGAGTCTCAACACATTCTTTTCTGGTTAAGCAAACATTTACCACCGAAAGGCTAAAGTCATTCACATGCCACAATACACTTTCCATTATCTCATGTTTTAGACAAAACATCTTCAGCGTCCAGCTTGGCATAGCATAAAACATTTGTACTTTAAACTATTTTATGATAGTAAATTATTCAAGTGTTAGATCACCAAAGCATAGCTTTAAGTAAACTTTATTGGTTGACAGACAGTGACAGCTCTTGGCAAATTCCCAAGACTTTGTTGCTGGGTAAACAGCCAAGAAATAGGGAGAGAAGAGTTATTCTATAGTAATCTGACTAAACATCTAAAACGTGTTACTCTGTTTTGTTTTTAAGCCCTTCCCTTCAAAAGGAAGTCGACTGTACAGTACTCTATTCTCCCTTCCTCCTGCACATTAACTCTGTCCTTCTTCCTGCACTTCAAACACAAGTCTTGGGGGGGGGGGAAGGATAACCTGTTATGAATGTTTGATGTTTTTAAGTGACAAGAATTACTGTTTGACTTGGCACCTTTTCATATTTAACAAGAATACATATGGAAATGTCCATCTCCACACTTACCTACAGCCCATCATGCATGAGGGCTGACATATGGGATATAAATATCTTTATGAATTTATAAATAAATAAAAAAGCAAACTCTGTTTTGGAAGAGTTGGGAAACACAGAATTCCCCCCCCCCCCGAACCTTCACATCTCTAAAGGGGAGGAGGCAATTTCTCCTTCTGCATCTACCTGTGTTCCTCAAGAGAAAAAAAAAAGTCTGCTCCACATGAAGATGGAAAATACTGCAAAGGTTTGTAATGGGGAAGTTAAAAAAAAAACAAAAAAACACACACACACACACACACACAAAACCCTCCAGCTACTATTGTGACTGCAGCAGCAGATCTAGCCCATAAATTTCATACATCAGCTACAGAGCTAAAACATTTTTGCCCTTTTCCAGTCTGTCTTAGAATAATCCTAGTCTCTTCTCACCGTTCTACTATGGTCCCTGGCAAAGAACAAAAAGATTATGTTTGATGCATTTTAGCATTTTGTGTCTTTCACAACATTTGGTACTACTAAAGTGTATTTTGTCCCATTCTGCTACTAAAATGTCTTTATAAAATGCAGTATACCCATACAACGAAATTCACAATTGGTACTACTAAAGTGTATTTTGTC